TTTAATTACAAAAAAATAAATATTGTAAATAGTGAACTGTTGTCAATACATTTAGCTGATATCGTATTTTCATTAATATAATTTAAAATGAAGATTAATTATTTTAGTTAATATAGCATATAATATATTATAATGTAAATGGATCCAAAAATATCACTAAAGAATTGTATAATAAAGTCATTACTATTGTTTGGATTTCTATACCAAACATACAAAATAAGTTTAATATACTTCTCATACGAAACGACAGCAAACATCAGATTTGAATCACAGACTCGTTTCAGTCCACCGGCGCTCACATTATGCCTATCAATCAGAGGCCTAATACGACCCAATTTAACCATGGTCTATTTTACACAAAACAACCCTAACGTGTTTGAATGTGGTAAATTTGCCAATCAATCGCTGGATAAGCAATTTGCGGCAATATTGCCAGAAGACAGAATATTTAGCTGCTATTATAACGATACAAGTAATCAACAATCAAGATACAAACGATGCAATCACGTGACCAATTATCGCATATCAATTAGCACTCTTTACTACACAGTTTGTTGGACCGTATTTTCCCGTTGGGTGGCCGAACCCGAGCACTGGTACATTGTGAACAACACCCAGGCACAATCTCTTCCATTTATGAGATTAACATTGCTAAATAAATCCCTAATCGCAGGCGGCGATCTCTACCTCAGATTCCATTCTCGGTATAAAATGATGAGAACTTTTAATCATAAAAATTCACTGAGGTTAAATATTAGCGATTACGATTCGGGTATTATTAAGTATCAAAAAACCACCATGAAACTTAATTACAAATTATTTAGTAATGCAAAATGTTTTGTAAATATCGATCATAATGATTGTGTAAAAAGGTGCATTATTAGGCAATATTTACACATACATTCCGCGTTGCCATCTCAATGGTTAATGTACGCCAATGACATCATTAACACGACTACTGTTTACACAAAATTGTTAAGAAACATTACCATTGAACGGGATTGCTATCGGGAGTGCGATGATCGGGAAGAGTGCTTTAAACACTATTATTCACTTTATCACAACCAATATAATTATGATTATAACAAACATTATTATAAATTAGACATCAGTTTCAAAGATTTCCCGTTGGGTGGCCGAACCCGAGCACTGGTACATTGTGAACAACACCCAGGCACAATCTCTTCCATTTATGAGATTAACATTGCTAAATAAATCCCTAATCGCAGGCGGCGATCTCTACCTCAGACTCCATTCCCGGTATAAAATGATGAGAAGTTTTAATCATAAAAATTCACTGAGGTTAAATATTAGCGATTACGATTCCGGTATTATTAAGTATCAAAAAACTATCATGAAGCTTAATTACAAATTATTTAGTAATGCAAAATGTTTTGTACATATCGATCATAATGATTGTGTAAAAAGGTGCATGATTAGACAATATTTACACATACATTCCGCGTTGCCATCTCAATGGTTAGTGTACACCAATGACATCATTAACACGACTACTGTTTACACAAAATTGCTAAGAAACATTACCATTATTGCCCTAACGATAGCCCTCACGCTACTAGCCCTTCTCACGAAATTTGTGATAATAAGTGAAATAGTGTTGGTTATATTAATACTAATATTGTTTGTAATAATATTTAATCTGTAGTCAAAGTTTCTAGTACCAAATGTTGTGTACGAGATATCATTGAAAATGTCATTTGAAGAGTACCTGGTATTCATGGGATCACTTGTTGGCCTATGGTTTGGTGTATCGGTTTTTATGTTCACTAATATATGCACACAATTATTCAGTAAATATAAAACACATATTTTTAATAAACTGCAGACAAATACAGTTATTAATAATCAAAACTTAATGTTATTTAATATAACAAATACAAGACAACAGATAATAAATAATAATTTAATGCATAATCGGGTTGAAAATCGGTTAACAAATCGGTCAACAAAAAGTGCTGGAAATTTGTTTATTCACTGAACAATAACTAATTTTTTGTAATACTAATGTTATAATACCTTAATAATCTCATATCTATTTATTATTTATAATATAAATTTTATATGATTTCATTTCCCGTAATATAAATACAGTAATTCAATACATAATTGAATTTCTGGACCCACAACCCGTCGGATAATCGTACACCTAGCCACTGATTGAATATTACTGATTAACCACATTTACAATTTAAATATTTTGCATATTAATAAAGTTGTAGTAATAGTATTTAATAATTGATAGCTATATTATTTTAAAGAAATTTAATTAATAATTTATGGACTATAAGCGGATTTTTAAAATCTCGATTCATCGACATTTACACTGTACTTGTATATAATATTCTATTAAATATAATAAAAAATAATATTAATATTATAAAATATTTTCCAAATTAATCAATATTCATTATTGAGTTAACACAAAAATAACAATTAATTTAAAATAAAATAAAGCACAGATTATCAGTTTTCACTTAAGACATTTTATAAGTCAATTTTATTTATTAGTTTTTTGTATTTTGTATTAAAGTCTATACATATTATTCCATAAGATATAAAACATTGTTCCAAACGTTTATAATTATATATAAAACATATATAAATGTATGTAAAAGAATATTCTGTGGCTTTCGATGAGATGTATGTTTGCGATGAAAGTGGTCTCAAACGGCTGTCTGTTGTACTTCATTGCCCTCCAAATCCTGTAATAAAGAGAGATAAAGTATAGATTATCTCATATTATTGATATCAATATATCAATAATGTGTTACAGTTATAAACCGTTTGGGTGAGTGAGTGTCACCATTGCTTAACTTTAAAATATACAGTACTGTACATCTTACCAGATATATACTGTATAAATCAATTTATAATCAAGGCTATATCAATATAAGTTCCTGAATATTATCGATTTATCATTACTAAACATCTATGTAATCATTCACTAAATCTCAAAGGGGTTGGCATTTTAAATACTAACCTAATGCCTATCCCCAGAAATATAATAATACTAGTGATATAATCGATGCAACCAGGGTGATTGAAATATAAAGCATAATTTTTTACCATGCTAATCCCATTCATGGGTGAGTAATGAATATTCAAAAATTCTTACATCAAATCTGAGTGTTTGATGGACTATAACTCCGGCGTCCCTTTGATCGTAGTATAAAAGCTCTTCCCTTTGGTCTCCATTTGTCTGCAGACAACCAAAAAAATGTATTATAAAAAGTGATGATAAAAATTTTTTTTTCATTTATTAATACTAAATATGACATTAAAAGTTATGAAAAATTATTTATTTTCTATTTTGCATCCGTCTCTCTCTCTCTCTCTCTCTCTCTCGTACTCTAATATTCAGTCAAATATGAAATATGGAAATCAAATCAAAAGTCTGTTTTTTGATAAAAATAGTTGTGAGACTTTTTGATCCATCAATTCATAAATAAAATTCAAATTTTTAATCGGAAATCAATATACAATATATTTTATAAAATATCTAAAAGGGAATTTCACTAAAAATGCATGTTGTGTCAAAAATATATACTAAACACGACATTAAATGCATAAAAATAATTTACATTTTCCCTAAAACTCCACAATTAGTGAAAACTATACTTACATTTGGCTAATTGTTTTAAATTAAATTAAATGACATTAATTTAATGGCTAATAATTTATTACTATTAGAAATAGATTTGTACATCAAATAAGCGATTAAGTCAAAGAAACATAGATTAGTGTATTTAAGTTAAATGCAAAAGTTAACTAAAATCAAAACAAAATCAAAACAAAAGCATTTGAAAAGTTTTGGATCATAGTTTAATATAGAGTTTTGATCGTGATTTAATAACTGCTATTCAATTAAATATTAAACTGTCCATTAGGCAATTTTATATTTGTTAATTTAATTTATCAGTATATTTAAGTGTTCACAAGTGTTCATAATGTTCACTAGAAAATATAATGTATTATTAAAATAACATATAGAGTAAACTTTATATTATAAAATATATAATCTATATAATAAATAATTATATAATACCTGTCTCATTTTACGATGAGTACCATTAGGTATATACCCGTTAACTAATATGGACTTTGGTTTCTGTTGTAATACGGTTTCAATGATTGATGTGTTGGACAGACTCGTCAAGTCATCCCTCATATCGTTTATAATAAATAAATCGGTTTTTGAATCATTAAATGATTGTAAATCTGTATCAATAAAAACATCACAATTAAATTTAGTTAAATTAACACAAAAATTAAATCAATAATTATATAATCACTTACCGCACGGAATAACATCGGGGTTCTTATGACTTAATTCATCCTGGCTAGTTTGCTGGACAATACTGTACTCATCGCTTAGTTGACCAATAATTGTGCTAAACATATAGTTTTTAGACACAAAATACAACCATGATTTATTATACAAATATACGCCAAAGTAAAGTTATAAATTACTTTTGTTGCGTTTGTTGTTCCCGTTTATCCTTTTCCTCGTCCTGTTGTTTGATTTTACATATAATGATAACAATGAGCACAATTAGGATGAGCGACAGTAAGGCACCCACTATTACGGCCAGAATCGGGTCGTAGTCCAGCTCTTGATTGCCGGACACTATATAATACAACAAAACACCATAAATGTAAAACAGAATCACCATTATAAAGCATAAATAAAATATATAGACCAAATTAAAAATGATTTAACAATATATACATTGTATACCTAATTTAGTGTTGACAGTGGAAAGGGTGGACACGAGCATACGTGTGGGTGCGCTCATGCCTTTGGCATTAATAGCGTACAGATTAACAGTATATTCAGTGCCAGAGGAGAGGCCGGCGATGAAAAACAACGGCACCGACGATGCGCTCAGATTCTTCACGTCCGACTCAACACCGGAATCGGCGCCGAAGTGTTGGGCGAAAAATGTCTGCGACAGACCGGCGCTGTCGCCGGGCGTACACTCAATGGTGAGGGATGTCATCGTACGGTTGGCCACCGAGCAGTCCCGGGGCGGCTGTGGGGGCAAAGCGGTGGTGATGTGGAACAGACAGGGCTGGGCCTGTAGGCCGACCTCGTTTTTGGCCCAACACGACACGAGACCAAAGTCTTGAGCGCTGGCCGTACGGAACCGGAGCTCAGAGGTCAGGCCCCGAGCGGTGTAGTTGTCTGAGTGGAGCTCGTAGTTGTTGAATGTCCAGTAAAATGACACGTCTAGGGGCTGGGCCTCCACTGAGCACCGGAGCACTTGGGTTTCGTTCACAGTCATCGCCACCGTTGACTTCAGGGCACTGTTACGGCATATCGGGGTGTCTGTCGGGTGCCAGTGATCGTCAGTCAACACAAAAAACATATCGTTAGATTGAATGCTCAGTAGTTTATTAACAAAAATATAAATCAATAAATTATTCGCTAAATAAATCATCGATTAAACCACTGATTATAAATACCAGGGTATAAGACTCCGGTAGCTCTAGGGGTAAGACTATAATACAAGCAATAAATCCTATCCACCCCACCCCTGCACTCCCCGTTAATACACCAATTCATCTCTATAAATGTAGCAATTAATCATGCTGAACGTGTTTCAAAAACAATACTTACACCTCAAATTGAGCCACACTTCGTTGCTAACGCCCCGGCCCTCCAGATTCTGGGCGCCGCAGCTATACTTTCCCCTGTGTTGGGACTGCAAGTGGCGTATAGTGAGCGTTGTGTTTGTTATAAAAATACCTGTAATTTTGATCCAGATCATAAACAATTTGTTGCCAATTCTTACAAAATTAATAAATAAATAACATCGACGCCAACCTTGTTGTTCATTGTCTGCGATAACGGATCCGTTGAGCATAAACTGTATATCACTGGCGCCGGGATTAGCTCTGATCGCGCACTCCATCACCGCCTCTGATCCCTCTCTAAACACCACTAATTTACTATTTTTGTTGATAGTTAGCGTCACTTTTGGATCATCTGTGTTTTGATGGTGAGGGAGGGCACGGGTTGGGTTGTATGGTATGGTAGTTGAGATTAGGGGGAGAGAGCAGGAGTGCCCGAATAGGTTTAAATAAGATTTAAGATAAGTGATTAATTTGGTTTTATATTTGGTATTATATAAATTAAATTACAGCATATTGAATGTATTTGCATGATAGCATTTGGCAGGTATTATAATATTTAAAATTGGGCAATGTTTTAAATTGATAATAATATTGTAATAATCTAGTTCACTTAATTTGTAGCTTGCATTTGGTTGTAAGTATTTCTTATTAGAATTTAATCTAGTAGTAATTTAAGAATTATTATTTTGATACTATAAAAGTAATAATTGAATTTATAAATATGTTGAAACAAGCATTATATTACAAACCGTAATAAATAAATAATAATAAATGAACAGCATATTGTGCAAAATTAACCCTGTTAAATCTGGAGATGTCAGATCTAAAGGTGCTATGCAGTGTATTTCTATTAATCCATTACTTGTAATAAATTAAACCACTTTTTTGTTATATTTTTTAGTTTTTATTTTGGTTAAGAAATTCTCTGCAAAGTGAAAAACGACAACAAAAGTGAATAAAGCAAAAAAAGTGTAATGACTTTCATTATCTCACTTTTTTCGGGGTAAAGATTTATAACGTTTTTAGTTTTATTAAACACTAGTGTATTGTATTTCGGGCGGAGAGCAAAACGCTCGATGCCATTCATCACTTGTGCCATACATATACATAGGCGTAAAAACAATTTTTGATATTTATATCACTGGCTTAAACGTTAACCACGTTTGTCTCGGTTTAGAAAGGGCAGGGAATTTGTTTTACAAAATAAGCATTCTTATATTAAATTTATTATATTAAAAACTTTAATATTTTAAAATATATACATGATTATTTGTTTGAATTAAATGTAAACTGTCATATTTAAAATAGATTTCCTAATTATGCAACTTTACTGGCAATCCTATATTCTCACTGAACTTAATAATAAAAAATTTGCACAGAATTAATGGTTTATTATATATCTTACTAACGATAATAAACTGATATCGCATTGAAAGCAACGGAATTTGTTTTATTTATTATTATTATGATTATTATTATATTCTATGCGTTAAATATCGTACAGAATATTCTTATTAATAATGGGCAAAAAATACATACAATAGACTTGCAGTTCCCATCCGTCCTCCATATACTTATGGGGCGCCTGTAGTCTCAGATTCTGTGCCCTACACGTCAATAAGGCTCCGTCATCGGCAACGGTGGGCATCAGATTCAGTACACTTGTGGTAGTGTTGC